ATAATATAAAAAGGATCACTTCCAACGGAGTTCTTTTGAATTTTTAAAGAATGCTTAAACACTAATTCTAATTTAAATATTAAAAGAGGAATTGGTAGGATAATTACAATTCGGTGGCTCTGGTAGCATGGAATTGGTAGGATTTACAATTCTATAGCTCTGGTAGTATGGAATTGGTAGGATATTTGCAATTCGATGGCTCTGGTAGCATGGAATTTGTGACTAATTGTATCAAGGGAATAATAACAAAGGAACAAAATCCTACTTCGCTAAGGTTTGATTTAAAAATAATTATCTTTTCATACTGATTTATATACCAAATAGATATAAGTTAGAAGATGTGGTATGAGTGCCAATGAGACAACTCTCCATCCAAGTCAAAATTTATAAAAGTAGACCATTATAGGTCACAGTACGGTCTTCAACACGGAGCCTTGGCTCACACCGAACAGTAAGCTATAAAGGGCCCCAAAAATTACTAGTGTAAAACCATTCAAACGGGAAAACCAACGGTCTAATCTATATAAAAAAACGAGAAACGAGAAACACTTATGAACCACATCAACAAACGACAACTACTGAACATCAGATTCCTGACTTAGGACAGGTGCAAACAAATGCAGCGGGTTTAAACGTTTTAATGGTACCAAACCTTCACCCTTTTTTTGAAACAATATTGTAACATCACAACATAGAAAGACACACTATAAAATATCAACTGAAATAGCTTAACTCAATCAATGGACATATTAACACCATTGAACATACACTGAACAAATAAATTTGACCTATGATACAATGTAAATACAAAATAAATAAACTAAGGGAAGAATAATAAAAGTAACATGTTTTATCGGTATGAAATGTTAAACAATTAAAGAAAAACAATATGCTCGAACAGAAATATCAGCCATTTGCAATAACACAGGTAAATGAAAATAGTTTTGTTGTAAGGTATACGTGTACAGTTCCAATAGAGAAAGGAAATATTTTTACAAAATAAATAATTTTGATGTTCATAGTACGAAGTGAAAATTTAAAGTAATATCAAACACTTATCAAAGCTGGTATATAGACCAGATATAACCCTAAATAACATTAAATACAAAAAAGCAATACTATTAGTATCAACAGGTCAAATAAACAAGAAAGTACGATTTGAGAGTACTCGCAGTTACTGACAGCTAGTTAAAATCCAAAACAATTAATAATAAAAAATCATGCATCAGAGACTAAAATCAACTAAAACACATCCCAGGGATTTAGTATTTTAACGTCATGGACAGTCAAAGAAGACATGACTAGTGCAATGCCAAAAATAAATGTATCGACAGACAGTAGGATAGTTAGTTTAACCTTTTTATAGATCAAAACGAACGTGGGTGTGTCTTTATACATCCCGTTTGAAAAGAATACAAATTTAGTTATGTTTTAATTTGCTGATGACAAAAATATAAATACAAATGCATTTATATACTACTTCAGCAAAGCCAAAAAAGAGAAATTGTCAATGACACCTAACTGCAAAATAAGCAAAGTATATACCTTCAGGAAACAAAGAAAAACTCACTTTAATATATTTTGTATTTTGTACTTGTATTTACAAGGGACGAATGAGAACTTACCATATGATATGGACGTCTGACCATCTGATGACCTCTAGTTATGTTTGGAATGCTATCCTTTGTGGCTTTGTTAATTATTTTGTGTGATTGTTTATAAAATCACCCGAAGGAATTGTTGTTTTAATTGCAACAAGAAGAATCAATTGCTGCTGTCTCTCATAAAAAAACATTATTAAATTTCGGATTTTTTATTTCTAAATTTTAGAGGATAATGTATAAAAAAATAAAAAATACAAAGAAAACACTGTTTTCATAATGAAAATAAATATTGAACTTTACCACTTCTCTATCCATATTCGGGGATATTTATCTAATGCCCACATTTGTTCCATCTCGTCTGGTGACAAGGAAAAACTGAACACCTGAAGAAGATTATTTTAAAATTATTTTACCTTTCATATTTCTTAAAACAATGTTTTTTGTGTTGTTGTTTTTTTTTGTTTTTTTTTTTTTTCTGCTGTATCGTTCATCATATAATTATTTTGAATTCTGACTATGAACCTGGTAGTGCATTTTTAAGAAGGAAATATATATGTGCAATGCATTTTGTATATGTTCTGATCTCTGTGGTAAGTTTAGAGACAAATGTAAACAAGAAACTTTGAACTCGGGAGAAAATACTGACATTTCCTAAAAACCATCTTCACTACATTTAGAAGAAATTATTACTATATAGATGCTTCAATCATAAAAAAATAACTGAAAAAGTATATAAAAACTTTTGAATATAAAACATCTATTTGAATAACGATTTGTTTGCTAAACTTTGATTTTATAATCTTTAAAGATTGTTATACGATTGCAGAACTCAATCTGTAAATGCAATATAAATGTGTGAGCATTTATTTTGGCAGAGAATTTTTTATTAAGGATTCACTCAAATATATTTTAATCATAGTTTAACACATCCTTTGAGTCCCATATTTAAATCCTTTTTTTGTAAATAATCGACTCACATCAAAATTCTCCTTGATTCTAGAAGGCGTTACAGATTTTGGAATAACAATGATATTGCGCTGCAATATAAATCTCAAAACTACCTGAAAAAAAAGGCAACTAATATGGAAACTGCTTATTAAATCTTTTTTAATGAAGATGACTTTAAAATTGAACATACTTGTCTATCTAAACAATTACAATGTATAATCGCACGCGGAAGCGTACAAGTCCCACCTCGAGTTTTGAATGTCCAGGATTCGATCCCCGGCTGGAAAAACCAACGGTTCCACCGTACGTCTGACATTTCAGAGTAGAGCAGACTGGTCGACTCAGAGTCAGGATAATGTGTCCAGGTATGGGTGACATGTCTTCATTTAAAATTGAGAATGGAAATGGGGAATGTGTCAAAGAGACGCCAATCAGACCAAAGAGCAGAAAACAGCCAAAAGCCACCAATAGGTCTTCAACACAGTGAGAAAATCCCGCACCCGAAGGCAGGCTTCAGCTGGCCCCTAAACAAAAATGTGTACTAGTTCAATGAAAACGGACGTCACTCTAAACTCCAAAATTTAAAAATGAACTAAAATTAAAAAATATACAATACTAACAAAGGCCAAAGGCTCCTGACTTGGGACAGGCGCAAAAATGAGGTGGGGTTAAACATGTTTTGTGAGATCTCACTTTGAATTGTTACCTTGTGAGCTATCACAATTGCAACTCGGTTCAGCCTACTGTTACATGTAGTATAGAAAGGAGTTCATATTCGTATCACATCAGCACGTTCGTGTCCTGATATGCATTTTATATGTGCCACTGAACGTCAAACACCAATCCAAACTTTCATGGATGTATTACACAAAAAATAAACAGTTTAAGCGTCTGGCGTACAAAATTTTTATCTTTGTATTTATGGTAAGTTTGTTTACCGAATGCATAAACAATCACAAAACTAATGTTTGTAATCCAAAGCTGGCAATATGTCGTACTGTTATACAACTGTCAAGTGTTAGGGGAGGATTGAGCGCTCACAAACTTGCTTAACCCCAACACATTCTGTAAGTGCACGTTACAAGTTAGATGCATATACTTCAGTGGCTGTCGCTAGTCGCTGTCTGTAATATTTAGTTGTTCACTTATTATTTTTAGCAAACATCATGCTGTTTGTTTTTGAATTGTTTCTTATTTTGTTATACCGGAACCTTTTATACATTTCACTATTCGGTATGGGTGTTGCATGTGTTCATTGATGAAGGCCGTATATATGTGTGACTGTCCTATTGTTGCTGATGTTCTCATCCTTTGGTCTTCGTTGGATAGTTGTCTCATAGGAAAATTGGCAATCATACCACATCTCCTTATTTACATAAGACAGGTTTAGCCTTTTTTTGTGCTCTCAAACGTTTTGTATTTATAATTGTCCGAATGCTGGCATGGAGCATATCTGATGAAGGAAGGAATTCTATAAATACGCTTCTTGTTCTTAGATTTTATATAGATTCTTTGGTAATTTTTAGAGATATCTCTTATTTGTAATTTATACTCTATATATTTTGTATCTCCTTTAACCAGACAGGTATTCCAAACACCATACTAGGTTTTAATGTGTACATATTACATTCAGAAAATGTGATACCATGGCTGTTTTTACCTCATGAATCACCATGCATACGTAAATTTTAGAATTAGCAGTACTTAAATTAAAGCAATTTTATATAGTATTGCTATAGCTGTTTGAACCATTTAGCTAATATTGCATTTTTTTATCAATAAATTCTCTCCGCTCCAATTTAGAATTTCTTTTACCTGTGGTATGGTTTTGCCTTTCTTTTGAGCAATATCCTTAAGTACAGGTTCGTCCAATATACTTGGTTCTTTCCCCGTTCGCCTATTATAATATAAACTTATAAATGTTAAGCTTCTGCAATCTTTTAATTTTAAACGGGGTTTTGATAATTGATTAATTGGTGTTTAACGGCTCTTTCAGCACTATTGTGCTATTTCGTGGCGGTCAGTTTTTATTGGTAGTGCAAGCCGGAGTGCTATGAGAGAGGGAAACTGACAGTCAAAGTCAATTAAGATTGGAGTCGAGCGCACCTGTCACGAGCGGGTTTTAATGATATATATGTAACCACTGAGTTTTTACAATGGAGAGGTCATAATTTAATTATGACCCGTACTATATGTAAATGTGTTTGCATTATTATTATTTCACTTCAAAGCATAAAGACTTTATAAGTTTTTAAACCAATTAATCATAAACGTTCAACGTCATTCATAAAAGCTATTTGCAAAAATTGTTCTGTTATAGATTGACGGAAAATCTACCAAACGATAGTTGAAAGCAGAGGTAATGTTCTTCTAAGTTATCTGTCAATATCTTATTGCAGTTCTATTATGCTATCATAGAAAACAGTACACATGGAACGTTATACCCACAAAGGACTGTCCGGGTTTGCTAGAGGTGCATAAGCCGTCACTGTAATGCCTTTTGACAAGCAGAAATTCGCAAGCTTCCTATTTGAGAAATAAGGATGTATTTCCACCTACAAATACAAAATATTTAAATAAAAATAATAAACAATGCTATTCGATATTTCTTGTTGTACTGTAGACCGAATTCTTTTGTCTATAAAAAATAGAAAAACGCAAAAATAGTAAAAAGCAAATGAAGATTAGGAAATATATGCTATATAGAGACAGAAGAATTCGGTCTAGTTGTACTGTTATTCTTGGCAAATAAAAAAAAGACCTTTACTGACTTAATCTTCTATATTTCATCATTCTCAAAATTCTTTTTTAGAAGCAGCTTACCCCAAAATCGGGACTTGTATATTTTTAATGAAAAATGCCAACATTTTAAGACCGATATGTCATGTTACCTGCAGATTACATGGTTTTATCCTGGCACTTTGTAGTATACGTTCTACCTGTGACTTGTTAAAGTTAGACAACCCTATATTCTCTGCCATGCCAGCATCAACTAATTCTTCCATACCCTGCAAGTTCACAAGTTCACAGGTAGTGATGATATAAGAATTAAGAAATGTAAAAAAATAGAAAAAAGATCGAAATTGTATGTACCATAAAGCGAAAATGAAACTGTAAATATAAATGAATTTCAAATGTATACTTTGTCATTTACAAGAATAATCCTCGATATTTGAATTATTTTTAAAAGCGTTAAAAGATATTTGATATACTAATATATATGGGAGTGATGATTAAAATATATCTATGACCGTAAGATATGAAAATAAAAGTATGTGAAATGTGTATATCGATTCATCGCAAAAGATTGAAAAAGATATAAAACATGTTCTTCTTCTAAGATTTTTTCCAAACAAGAGAAAATGGGCTTTAAAACATTATTTCCACTTTTTTAATTCTTCAATGAGTATCATGTAAAAAAAATGTTTTTTTGTTTTAAAAAGATGAAGATATTTCTATGATAAATCATTCTAAATCAATATATCGGATTGTTTCTTTCACGTTATATGATAGCTGGTTCTTTGATTTTAGTAGAGAAAGATATTTCTATGATAAAGTATATTTCATAAGTATAATTCCAAAATATCAGATTCATAAATCATCATCGTTATGTCTGAGTGTCTTAGAAATGTATGCAAAGTGAACCATACCTTCCATGTATCTATTATGTCGTGATTCGCAAACATCATCTGGTCATTTTTATCTTTGGGAAACAAATCATCTCCGTCCTACAATGAAGAAAAAAAATCACCAAAGATACCAGGCTTATATTATAAAATTTAATTGATTTATCATTAAAAAATACTTTGATGCAATAAATGATTTAATTCATAATTTAGCGACGTAAATCTGTACTGGTAAGTACAAAAATAAGTAAACTCAAATGTACAAATCAACGCCTGGTGTACCGAGAAGAAAACATAATGAGTTTTTTTAGAAAAAAACTAACCATACAAATTTAATATTTGACAGTAACATATAATTGTATATATTTATATAGCACTATTTATTGCATGTAGTTGATAAACACCAACCCATCATTACTTCAGAAAAAATAGAAGGCGGAAGATACCAAAGTGACAATCAAAATTCATTATTCAAAGAGAGACCGACAGCACCATGGGGAAAACAATAATCGTCGTGAAAACAAACAATAGTCTAAAAATACTACAAAGAATGACTGAGCAACAAGAACCATACCGAAAAACCGGGGGCGATATCTGGTTGTCCAGAAGGGTAACAATGTAACAATGCATTCAAAACTAGTTCGGACGCAGAGATAAGATCTAGAGCTTGACATATAGTATGGTCAGTTTTCTTTCAGCGAAGACTAATATTCAAGTCTAAATGCCATGTTAGTTTCATATCTCATCGACATTTACTCTTTTACTCGCATGGAAACTCAATTAACATTCATATTTACGGTCATGTTTCTCTCTCCAATATATTTTATTTTAAAGTATTTAGAATTACAAATAAAAAAAAACTTTTCTTGATTGCTGTTCTTCGTATTTGTAATTTTTGTTGTTGTTTGTTTTATATTTGAAAACACTGTTTATTCGTATGTGTAAAAAAAGAGGGACGAAAGATACCAGAGGGACAGTCAAACTCATAGATCGAAAACAAACTGACAACGCCATGGCCAAAAATAAAAAGACAAACAGACAAATAATAGTACAGATGACACAACATAGAAAACCAAAGACTAAGAAACACGAACCCCACCAAAAACTGGGGGTGATCTCAGGTGCTCTGGAAGTGTAAGCAGATCCTGCTCCACATGTGGCACCCGTCGTGTTGCTTATGTTATTACAAATCCGGTAAATAGTCTAATTCGGTAAGTCACATTCGTGAAAAGGGCGGGTATTATAGTTACGACATAAGTAACTGTGTTTGTATTTGTATTTCACCTTTGCTTTTTTCTATGTTATAACATTCATTAAGTGGGTTTATTTTTTCATCTATTTTTAGTAACTATGACCAAGTCCTAGATTGCACCAACGGCCTTTTTTGGGGACTTGCTGGTGCCTTTGGATGTCAAAGCGCAGTCCTTCCAGAAAAGTTGGAAAGCTGGCACTGCCAACTGATGCCCCTATTTTCATATTTATGGAGAGAAAACAGTTTTATTGGAATGGTTCAAAATACAAATATGCTTGGAGGGACAAATAAAACATGTTCTATAAAGTTTTCAATATGAATGGTAAAAAAATCAATCTTTTTTGTAAAAGTGACCCTGATCGTCGACCGGATGACCACAGGCGTCCTCTGTTTTCCTGTATCTTCAGTCTGTACAAATTTCATTATACATAATCAAGGGAAACTCAAGTTATCATCTATAAACCGTATTCCCAAAAAAAAAATATTCGTAACAGTGACTTTGACTTCTGACCTATTGACATCAACATACATCCTTCTTCTCCTTCCCTATATCTTGCATTTGTATAAGTTTCTAAACCTAAGACACAGTAACAGTAATACCAACATGTATCTCTCTTTATATGCGAACTTATAGCAAAGTCATTTATTAAGTGTTATTTTCATTTGAAATCCAAAATAAAGTATATCTTCAAAAATCACGGACAGACAAACCTCGGACCGTGCACGTGGCATGTAATAACATATTGCATTCTAGTGGAATCAGGAATCGAAATCCAAGAACCAATACACGAACGCAATAAAGAGGAAATCCGACATAACTTCTAAAGAAAAAAGTAAAAAAAAAACACACACACACACCATCACCACACACACACACACACACACATATATACAACATTGTTGTGCTGGGTACAATCATTAAGCCTAGTCTAGACTAGTCACCTTTTTTAGAACCACAACCTTTTTTTACTAACAGTGGAAACTGTTAAACCCACAAATTATGTTTAAAGCATTTCAATCCTTACCTTAAGTGAAATAGGCCAGTGAATGACCAGCAGCTGGACACAGTTCACTTTAAGATTATCCAACGATTTCTGGAAATTTTCCTTTATATGCCGTGGATTATGATGTGTGTTCCATAGCTGAAAAGTTTTCGTCCAGTGGAAAGTTATATGAAATAAATAATGTTAACAGTTCTAATAAAAGTATCGGGAGCATTTGAAGACTGTAGTACCCGCAAGCTTGGTGCTTGAAAATTGGTAGATTTCGTCGGAAATGTATTATTTTGGACTATTAGAAACAATCTAAAAATGTGTGCATGAAACGGTTTTTTATACCGTATATATTTCTTTTCTCAATACATCATTTATGTTTCGGTTGTTTAAATCCGTATTAAAAAATAATGTAACCTTCTAAATAATTACAAGAGATCATCACATCTTTTTTTTTTTATTTTGAAAGAAAATATGACAAATGAGGCGAAAGATACCAAGGTGACAAGAATAACTGACAAAGTTATGGCTACTGTCCTACCTTAGTCGTGATAAACATTTCTTTTTTATCTTTAATTGTACCGTCATCTAACTTGGCCTGTATACCATCTCCTACTTCCTTTTCGTTTTCATATGCATAGGCACAATCAACACTCCTGTACCCGATATCTATGGCATACTTCACTGCTTTCCTGACTGAACCAGGTCCACCCTGATAGAAAGTTAAAAAAACAAAAAAACATTAAACGCTACATTCAGTTTTTATTGTGCATTTGTCTTAAAAATTATAATTATTTAAAAGTAAACGTTATAATTTTGCAAAAATGTATTTGGCGAATTTGCAAGTGATTAACGTCTCCGAGAAGACGTTATAAGAGTTGAACGATGGACAGTCTGCGGGCTGAATGCTTCTTACTACTAGTATCTGATTGGAAGATATTGCTGACTCTATCCAGGAACGTATGTACTGTTCCCAGCTCTATCATAGCTAACTTGTGTTGATTGGTTGGGACAAAACCTAGTAAATGTCTTTTGATCCCGTAAAGTGTCGGAATTGAACTCTCTATTTTAGCAATTAGATTTTGCCTGGTTACCAATCATGCAAATCGGTACACAGGTAACACTTATCTATAAATAGCCGAAACTCCTGAAATATTGTAAACACACGTGTGATTATTTAACGTTCTATCCAGTCGCTCACTGTTACGTACATCTTGTACACGAAACCATACTTATGAAAACATCGTGCTTTTTTCTTAGCCTAGATTATAAATATTTATACTTAGTAAGATAATCCAAAAGCAATAATAAAAAAAATGACTAAAAGAGAGATATTTTCGATTAAATATTAATTTGAACAGGAATTTTTATCTCGGAAAGGGGGTGGGGGGACCTTTTTATGGTAAAAGCACATATATGTCTCAGTCTGGTAAAAGGAAAATACCCTAGAGATCAAATATTTTTTTTACAATTAGTATGTCTACACATAGCTATGATGCATGGTTACGCTATTTCATCATGCTTGACAAACATGACAAATTACGAGAGTGATTTTAATTGCATTTGAAAAAAAGTATCGTCATCTGATTAGTTTCAGATTCAATCTTCAACCTTGACTTAAATATCACCAAAATTTCTCGACCTCATCAAAAGCTTAAAATAGGCCTATTCTAGTTGCTCATCCCTACCTCTCACTACAAATGATAAGTATGATAAGTGCCCCATCCCCCACCCCCCACCCCCGATCTTTAGGGTAGGGTTTGGGCGGGGTTGAACGTTTTCTAGCTCTCACTATCAAAATAGCAGACGATGAAGAACAGAAGACTAAAAAAATCAAAAGGGAAATATATATATAAGAAGAATATAAAACTACTCTCAGACGATGAAAGCAATTATACATGTATGCTATCATATTTCAGCAATGCTTAATTTCTATGAATGATTTTAAAGGAGATATGAAGTATATAATAATACGTAATTAGTTTAGACAGCAACCCAATTAAACAACAAACAGAACAATTTACTTCTAAAATTCAATCTACGGTCTTCTACAATGAACATGTCATTACATTATTTTAAGTTTTTAATCCTCCCAAGTCTAGCTATGATATATAGAATAGTTGTGAATACATGTAAAAAAAAATATCTTAATAGCAAACAATGAATATTACTTAAAACAATGAGGAGGGTCAAGAACAAACTTCTGGTAGTCTTTATAGGTATTTATTTTTATGTGTATTTAATTCTTCTATCTGTTCTGTCATGATCGTATATTTTTGTAATCTATATTTAGTATATATATTAATTATACATGTACCTATATGTTGTAAAACATTTGGTTGATAAAGAATTGAATAGTTGTTTTGAGGTTTATTGACCATTTATACTATATATATATATGCTATATGAGAGAAAGAGAAACAAAAGAAAATTATAAATTTCAAATACGAAAATACTATTGGCATTTTAAAAGAACGGTCTCTCACAAAAGATTATGTCAATCCAGTATGTTAAGCTTTGAAGGATTAGTACGATATAAGGACCTTATTTGACACCCAACATGGAACGGTATACTGCTTCATAACGTGTTTGGTAAAATCCGCTGATTTATATGGTCTTATATGCAAGGCTATTCTGAATGAATTAATCTACAAAGCGAGAACACTTTCCACTTTCATCAGCTAAGAGGAAGCTAGCTTTTTTAGAAAAGCTATTACTTGTTTAGTATACTCATTCAGAAATTCTGACCGGTATTACATAACTATTCATATCCAGTGGCGGATCCAGAGGGGGGCGTAGAGGTAAAATGATTATAAATCAGACTTGACTTCGTGAACTTTGCCATTTCCCGCGTATTTAATTTTTATGCGACAATTCTTTACTTATAAAGATATTTTTATCTCGTATTTACTGTAATATATTATTGATTATGTCAAGGTCATGTGATTCGCTACGGTGGAGTTGACCAGTGCGTCGAAAAAACGTCACTCAGTCATTTTGAAATTCAAATTACAGTAACACATTGCTTAGGCTGAGGATGACAAGCATGACACCTTCAAAGCGAGTAAGGATCGAGCAAGAACGTATTGACTTCTATTTCACAATTCCACCAAACAGAAAGTAATTCTCTATTACACTCTCAAGAAAAAAAAAAGTTCACAGCAATATTATTAACCTACGAAAACATGTTTAACCCCACACGCCCCAGCCCATTAATAACACTGCTGAATAATAATCCCCAGTCAGTAAGCTCTAGATAGATTTAAAATCTATGGTACGGACCATTTGATTTGAGGGGGCAGTCTGAGATATTTTAGAGAAAAAATTCTGACCCTGATTTTTTCCTTAAACAAAAATTCTGGCCGTATCTGGATTGAAAACAATAACGGTAATCTTGTCCACTTTTTTGCTATTAGAAACAAAGATTTTAAACAGAATTATTGAGCATTAAATGAACATGTTGAATGAAAAACGGTCGTAATTTTTTGGGGGCGGGGGTTTGCATGTTGTAAATCCCATATCTGACCGGAATGTCTCTTTCTCCGAACTGATACGCTGAATACTTTTTTCAAGGCCCGACTTCAACCTGCCTGCTCGGTGTGGCCTTTGTGTCTCCATTTGTCGACCGTCATTCTTCGTTGTCATTTCAGACTCATTCGTAGCCTTTGGTTGATTTTGAACCCCTCACTTTCCTTGTTGGGTGAAACATTTCAACCAAACATTTGGATTAAAATTGCTAGTTTGTCTTTGTTCGTGTCTGTCGTATTGTAAATTTCATTGAATGGCCGTATATCTTGTTTTCAACAAGAAATCTGTGAGGTTATGCTAACTAACCTTACAACACACGAGACTTTTCCATGTCAATTTTTAACTGACAAATCCCACATTAAATATATTAGTACAGTACAGTAAGGGATATCGCATGATGATGTTTTGTCAGAAATAGGTCAAGTAATTAATATTGAGGATGTGTTATCAATTCAAATCACTGAAAAAGACTGTATAGTAACTCTAAAAAACCCTGAAACAAAAGACAGGCTAGCGGCTCAAGGCATAACGCTAAGAGACAGATCTATTAAATTTTATGAAGTAGAGAGTTTAATTACTCATGTAACAATAAAAGACGCACCTTACGAACTAGAAAACTTATACATTTGTACTCAGATGTTTAGATTTGGTAAAGTAGTTCCAGGCTCTATAAAACGAGGCGTCATCAAAGGCACAAACATCGAAAATGGGTCTCGGTATATTGATATTCTGGAATGTGATGCAGTGCTCCCGAATAGAACATCATTTGGTCGTTTTGAAGTAAGACTTTTTGCTGATAACAATCGCACTCCATGTATATACTGTCATATCACAGGTCATCCTTCATACAGATGTAAGGACAAACCAAGTATCATGAATCAAAACAGATGTTACAATTGTTGTGGTATAGGTCACGTAGCTAACGCCTGTACAAGTGAAGGATACTGCTCCTACTGTAACGTCAAAGGTCACGCCAGACGAGACTGTGAGCAGTACAAACAGGAAACAGAAAAAAAGGAATTGGGCAGTTATGGTCCTGAAATATTAGAGGGAAGACAAGACAATACAGAAAACATTCACACTGACGAAGACGACGAAGAATCCATCTCATCAGACAACGCAAATTGTGGAAGAGAGACAGTGTGTGTTCTCCTTGGAGCATCTAATTGTATTAGGCTCGGACATATCGACGATTCGTTAGTAAACGCCTCAATATCTGGATGATCCTTTGACAAAATTGAACAAAACATTGATCTAGCTTTTCAAAAAACTGAAAACAAAGATATTGAAAAGATTGTTATCTGTCTAGGCACAAATGACATAAGTAGAAATAAAAGTGACTCTGATCAAATAAACCTTCTTGTAACAAGCGCTGTCAATCGTGTGAAGTCTAGCTTTCCAGAGGCACAAATAGGCCTTTGCAATATAATACCGCGTAAAGGCAACGGCGCTCAATTTCAGAAAATAAATGAAACGACCAAAAATGTAAATAGTTTCATGAAAAAACTTTGTGTTCGAGAACAATCTGTAGCATTTGTTGATATAAATGATCAATTTTATAAACACGGAGCTGTAATCAGAGCGTTGTTTGATAAAAATGACAGTAGCGGTGTACACATCAGCACAGAAGGCGCACAAAGAATTAACAGTAAACTTTGTGAGTTTCTTCATAGCCCAAATACGAACTTAACCGTATCAAACACTCCGGTTGATCGCAAACGCAACAGGAGTGACAAAACTACTCCAACATCTGCAGACCGGACATCCAAAGTATCAAGAAAAGAGACATGCATAGATCATGATTAAACCATGTAAATAAACACTCAGACTATTTTAATCTGATTTTACTGTTAAAAACAAAATATTTAAAAAAAAAAAACAAAAACAAAAACACAAATGTATCACTGTAAATATCATGTCCACTTTTTTAAACATATTTTTCGTATGTATATTTTATTTAGAAGTATTTCGTTTATATGCCTATATCTATATACTGCAAAAAGTGCAAAAATTGCTAAGATGTACCAAATTGTAATGTTATATATGGAGAACATGAATAAGTATCGGTTTATTAGACCTATTACGGTTTTAAAACGACGTTTAATAATTAAAGTTTTACCTGATTTGTTTACACACAGGTATACACATGAACGATCCGTTAAGTTTATTTTACCGAATAGACATAACCAGGTTCAAAGCATTCAAGTGAAACATTTAAATGACGAAAGAAAGGGAAAAAAACCTATTCGAACTTAATATGTCTTTGTCAATTGCTTCAATAAATGTAAATGGTTTACGAAACAATATAAAACGAGATGTGATTTTTAATTGGTTGGTTTCAAAAAAGTTTGATATCATTTGTCTACAAGAAACACACTGTACGAAATCTGATATTGATAACTGGGGTAATGACTGGAAAAAATTTGGGGGAGGTGAATCCGTTTGGAATTGTGGAACTTCTGATTCAAGGGGAGTGGGATTCCTTTTGCAAAAGAAATTTTCCGAAAATGTAACTTTTATTAATCACGATGAAAACGGAAGATGTCAAATGTGTGACATAAAAAGAGATAATGCTGTATATCATATTGTTAATGTATATACACCGAACAACGGTTCCGATAGAAAGACTTTTTACGAAAATTTGCGTAATTTAAATAAAATGTATGACGATGATAGCGTTGAACACTACACCGTATTATTAGGAGACTTTAATTGTACTTTAGACAAAAAACTAGACAGAATGCCATCACATCAAAATAATGACGTCGGTACAACAGAATTAAAAAATCTTTTGTTGAGATATGAATTAGATGATGTATGGAGATCTCGATTTCCAGATACAAAACGTTATACGTTTCAGAGAGGAAACTCGAAGTCTCGTATTGATTTTATTTTCTGCAGCAAATCTTTGAATAGTAAAATATTTAACACTCGTATATCACATTTCCCGTTTAGTGATCACGAAATAGTTACATCAAAAATTAAGCTAGATGATATAGAAAGAGGGCCGGGTATGTGGATTATGAATTTAAATACAATTAAATCTGAACAGTTTTCAAATGCCTTTAAAGTCTTTTGGGAAGGATGGAAAAATAGTAAAGACAAATATAATGATATACAAGAATGGTGGGATATAACCAAAAGTAAAATAAAATTTCTAACAATTGATGTTAGTAAAACACTAAATTGCTTATATAATAACAATCACATTAAACAACTAGAAAAACGACTTGAAGCATTAAAATTGGTAGAGGAAAAAACAAATATCATCAATTCTAGAATAACCGAAATTGAACGCGAAATTAAGGATATTTATACAAATTTGACAGAATCTGCGAAAATCAGAGCAAAAATTAAATAGGCAGAGGAAGGTGAAAAATCTACGAAGTATTTTTTTAATTTAGAAAAGAAAAATGGTCAAAACAAATTGTGGAATCGTATAAAAACAAAAACGGGTGAGTATAAATATGATATTGATTCGATATTAAAAGAACAAGTACAATTTTATTCCACACTTTTTACTTCTGAAGGGTGGGACAAACAGTGCGGTGAAAAGCTTTGCCAATTTATTGAAAATAAGGTAAGTTCCGACGATAAGGAGATGCTTGAAAGTAAAATAAATATGGAAGAATTAGAAAAAGTGCTCAAAGATCTAAAGACTAACAAATCGCCAGGTGAGGATGGCATTATATCTGAATTTTACATTTTTTATTGGGATATAATAAAATATGATTTTTTTACACTCCTTCAAGAAATATTTGATAAAAATGCCTTAAGTAAATCACAACATAAAGGGGTTCTTACGTTATTACATAAGGGTGGTGAAAGAGAAAATATTAAAAACTGGAGACCTCTTACATTACTTAACACCGATTATAAAATCATAGCAAAACTTCTTGCAATGAGATTGAAAAAATTCTTACCAAAAATAATACATCCAGATCAAAAAGGATTTGTTAAAGGAAGAAACATTAGTGATGCTAACAGATTAATTCAAGATATAATAGACTATATTGACAACGAAGAATAATAATATTTCTTGATCAACAAAAAGCCTTTGATAGAGTTGAATGGGATTGGGTGGATTTTGTATTAGAAAAGTTTAATTTTGGGGAAAAATTTAGACAATGGATCAAAATGTTACTTTATGATGCTATAACTTGTATAAAAACAAATGGACATGTTTCAAAATATTTTTCGATAACTCGTTCGGCCAGACAGGGCTGTCCAATAGCACCCCTTATATACATTTTGCAAGCAGAACCAATGGCATGTGCAATACGAGGTAACAAGGAAATTGAAGGGATTAAGATACCTGGTGAGGGGGGTAAAAGTATAGAAACTAAATTATGCATGTTTGCTGACGACACTCAGCTTTTTAACAAAAATGAGAAATCAGTAGAAAAATCTTTTGATGTCCTAACGCTATATGAAAAAGCTTCGGGATCTAAAATTAATTATGATAAAACCAAAGGTTTACTTATAGGATCTCTTAGAAGGAAAAAACTAAAATTTAATAAAATTAAATGGATTACAGGTAATGTAAAAACCCTCGGAGTAAATCACGGATATGAAATTGATAATGATGCTATATGGCAAAGCATTATAGAAAAGATTAAAAACTGTGTCCACGTGTGGAAAAGCAGGAAACTTTCATTTAGTGGTAAAACCTTAATAGTAAAAAATTTCATATTGCCCATGTGCAGTTATGAAATTGAAATGCGGGGAATTCTTGAAAAATATTCAAAAGAAATAAACAATATTATTTGGAATTTTATATGGGATGGGAAAGTTAACCAAATAGAAAGACAGGTTTGTTGTCTTGATATAACAAAGGGTGGAATGGGCATGATTAGTATAGAATTATTCATTAGAAGTAAGCAAATAAAGTCTCTTTATCGCATTCTTCATGAACCATTAGAAAGCTGGAATGCGATTAGCAAGTATTGGCTTCGACAATTTGACAATAAGTATAATGATCAATATTTTTTATGTAAATGTTCAAATATTAATGGACTAAATCTTAAAAATATTCCTTTATTTTATCAGAAAATGGTCTATACATGGTCTAATTTTCTAAAAATTGGAGATAATCCCAAAACAAAGCACGAGGTACTTAATATGAGACTATTTGGTAATTCAAAAATTTTATTCCAAAATAAGCCATTGTTTTTTTCTTCATTTCTAAAAAGTAACATGAAATATATCAAAGACATATGGAATGAAGAAACCAACGAATTTTACAGTTGTTGTTCTATATTTGAAAAACTTGTGGATAAAAGAAACTGTATATCGGAATTTTCAAGAGTTAAAAGTTCAATACCAATCGACTTCTTACAAATTTTAGAAATTGATAATGAAATTAATGTAAAAACAAACATAGAATTGAAACTTTCTGATGAAATGTTCATATTAGATAGAAATGACAAAAAAATCAAACATAAAGAATTGAAACTCAAATATATTCGAGACACGATTAATCAGAAAATATATCCAAAATGTCAAAACAAATGGCAAGAAATTTTTGGGCACGAAATTAATTGGAAAATAGTATGGGACAATCTGAAAAAAGTTAATATCACCAATAAAATAAAAGAATTTCAATGGAAATGCATTCACAATATCATATATACGGAAAGTAGACTTAAAAAAATGCAATTGTCAAACGGAAAATGTCATATTTGCCAAACGGTCAATAATACTGAAAATTTGCAACATTTATTTTTCGATTGCAATACAACCAAAATAATCATTAGTAAAATCAAAGATATTTTCACATTTTGGAATGTTCAATTAGATGATGAAAATTTAAAACATTCTATGCTTTTGGGAGATAGCAGTGGTCAATCGAACCACACTTTACTTGTAAATCTCTTTTTTATTTTGACAAAATGGTCCTTGTGGAAAATAAGAAACAAAATCAAATATGATGGGATAAAAATGTCATCTACAGATATCAAAGCTTACTGATAAAAGAAACCTATAAATAGAATTATATCTGATCATGTTGACACTTGAAATATTATTAGTCATTGCACAAATATTTACCGACGCAGATATACTTACCGTTACATTATGGGTTCCTAACCCAATAACAGGATACTTCGTTCCATTTGGTAAAACAGCAAACTCTGCAATGTCTGAACTCATTGTATGTTCTACTTGCACCCAAGTCTTTCTAAGTTTAGTCAGATTTAAACTATGAGTACGATTAGTATTCCTAACATGTGTCGACCTAAATATTTACATCTTAGCGGTGTTTGCATTTGAAAAAGTTTTGTACGCGGTTTAATTTGTACTGGTTTGGCTTTACTTTTCTTTTGGTCAACGTTTGTATTGGGTTTGAGACTTTTGTATATTTGGTAACGAGCATCACTGAAGAAACATTAGTTGTCGAAATGCGCATCTGATGCAATAAAATTAGTAACGTTAATGTTATTTAAAGATGTTGAATATAACTAATATAAAAATAAGGAGATGAGGTATGATTGCCAATGAGACAAGTATCCACCAAAGTTCAAATAAAGTGGATGTAAGCAATTATAGGCAACCGTACGGCCTTCAGCAACGATAAAAACCCACACCATATAGTCGGCTATAAAAGGCCCCGACATGAAAAATATGAAACAATTCAATTGAGAAAACTAACGGCCTAATTTATAACAAAACAATTAACGAAAAACAAATATGACAGACATGAACCAACGACAACCACTGAACTACAGGCTCCTGACTTGGGACAGGCAAATAAAGAATGTGGCGGGGTTGAACATGTTTGTGAGCGCTCAACCCTCCCCCTAACCTGGGACAGTGGTGCAACAGCACAACATAAGAACAAACTATAAAAATCAGTTGAAAAAGGCTTTAACTCATCAGATCGATACAAAACATCAAACATAAACACAGACTGGACGTGGCAGCGTCTAAGGCAGGTTTAAATCGTTTTAACCACATTTGATAGTTATATGAAAAATGGTCTCAAACTTTGAACTAGCTTTCAGTAACTGCGAGTACTCTAAAATTTGTACTTTGTGTCTTTTTTGTTGTTGTTGGGGATGTATAAATACCTTGCCATGTCCGGTCTGTGATAGTTGTTTTTCTGCGATGTACGGATCTGATGAGTTAAGCCCTTTTCAAATGATTTTATAGTGTGCTCTTATGTTGTACTGTTACACCACTGTCACAGGTTAGAGGGAGGGTTTTGCGCCAGCAAACACGTTTAACCTCGCTACATTCTGTATGTGCCTGTCCCAAGTCAGGAGCTTGTAATACAGTGGTCGTCGTTTGTTGCTGTTTATCATATTTGTTTTTCGTTTATTGTTTTGTACTTAAATCAGACCGTTAGTTTTCTCTTTTGAATTGTTTTACATTTGTCATTTCGGGGCCTTTTATAGCTTACTATGCGGTATTGGTTTTTCTCATTGTTGAAGGCCGTACTGTGACCTATAGTTGTTAACATCTATGTCATTTGGTCTCTGGTGGAGAGTTGTCTCCTTAGCAATCATACCACATCTTCTTATTTTCATATATCAATCAGAACTGATACCGACGTAGTTTGAAGCAGCAGAGGCCCAAGTACTTCAAGTATGGAAGCAAAAACAATCGGATTTGCTTAAAATTCCAATGTGAAATGTCCAGGGGCATCAGCAGGTTTGGGATTTTCTGCTTTGCATGCATCACAAAGCTAGATATCTTAGGAATCAGTAGAAAAGTTCGGTTTCTGTCACCTTTCTGTTATCTGGATAACAAATATATTTGTTTAACGAATTTGGATTTATAATGTTATTGAAGAAGATGATGATCTGCTTGCGATTTAAAAACGAAATGAAGCCAAAGATGCATGTACTAGAAAATGTCCTCCTTATTCGAAATATATTTGTTTTATACGTATATACAGAAGGTTTAATAGAAATGTTTTAAGTCGTCAACACATTCTAATGATTCTTACTGTTTCCTTGTAATATAAAAGAAGGTTCGTGTGGGTTGTACAACTCTTTTTTCGGACAATTTTGGTATTGCTAAAAACTCAATATACCAGACTTATAAGTAAGCACGCCATGCATACATTTCATCTACATAAAATATATCAGTAGCGCTAGGATACAAACAGTTGGAAGACCAAATCAATGACGAAGTAAAATCTATAATGAAGTTCTGGAGTCGGTTTCATAAATAAAACTTACGACCAAGATTGGTCGTAAGTATACTGAATTGTTCATGACTTACGATCAATCTTAGTCGTAAGTTTTTTTGTGAAACCGACTCCAGCACTGCCAATGAAATTTATATCAACAAATCAGATTGATTTTTAAGCATTGGCAAGACTTAATTTCAAAGTTTCTCTGGTCACAAGTGATTAGACAATATATTACTTATGTTGATTTTTAAGGAAAGTCTAGGGTCTTTTGTACTGAAAAGTACAGGGCTGTACAATATTTTAAAAGGAGTGAGAAGACACCAATCAAATACCATAAGTATAATTGAAACAAACAACATCGTGGCAACAAAAAAAAAAAACGGCGTAAAGACAAAACAAGTCAAAAACACGTACCCCAAAAAAAAACCGAATGTAACTCGGTTGTTTCAAACATTTCTGCTCTACTGATGACACCCGCCGTGTTTCTCCTGTTAAATACTTTATTGAGTAATATATGGTGAAACGCCATCACACAATATCGGAAAGGTCAATGTTTCTTATCTTACCGTTAGACAAAATGCATAAACTCTCGGTCATGTTAATTCTCTTACGCCACTACTTGACCGAACGAGAAAGTTTGAAATGTTAACACGGTTTTTCAGAATCAAGAACGGACAAGACTGTTGCTTGTAAAAACTACATGGACGTTGACAATCAGAATAGTACGAAATACAACACTGAAAATGAAGCAAAAGCAACAAAAATCCATCAAAAACCAAAAGAAGGTGACACAGGTATTCCATAAATGTAAACCAAATCTTAATGGCGTTAGTAAAACTTTCGAGAGAAACAAAATCATCAAAGATACCAGCCTTATTATTTGAACGCCAGACACGCGTTTCATCTACACAAGACTCATCAGTGACGCTCGAATCAAAAAAATTAGAAAGGCCAAATTCGAAGTGATAATTGGTTCAAAAGCTTTCTTTTATCAAGGAAAGCCCACTTTTTTCTTTGAAATCGTAAGTTTACGTTTACGTTTACGATCACCTTTTATCAAAGAAATGGTGATTGGAAACGCTAGTCCTTAAACATTTTTATCAACTGGGAGATATATACTCTACATACAGGCGATGCTGTAATGTTGCGACATAGAATGGACAGTTTATAATGGCAAAATAAAAACAAAACTCTCTTTTGTTCTAAACATTAGTTTCCAACCGTGGTCAATTCTCGAGAAAGGTGAAGATATGAAGCAGTATCTACTGAAATCTTTATTTCAACGGCAGTGGTATGAATGCTTCTAAAATAGTCACCAAAATTTGAATTATTCAGTGGAAGAATATCATCTATATAGCGAAACGTATTTAATGCCCGCATCTTATTTGAAAAGCTCCTGTAGGAAGTCTGCCTCATAAGTATAAAGGATATATTCGGCAAGAAGAGGATCATGGTGCAGTGTGTTCCCTTAGAAATGTCGATTGCATGTTGAAGAACACGCTCTCCAAACGATAGAGATATGTTGTCAATAAAACAAGAGTGCACATGCTAAAATGTCTTGCCTGCTTTACTGACCATTGATTTTATGTTGATAGTCCTAAATATAAAGCTTTACTACAAGTTTCACATAAACCTAACATGATCCAAGAAAATGAGATCAAGGTTAGATAAACCAAACGGAAATACATGTACACCTTATATAATTACAATCATTCCATACACAAAATATAGTTGACCTATTGCTTATAGTTTCTAAGAAACAAACTTAACCAGGAAAACTTAACATTGACCAATGAACCATGAAAATGAGGTCAAGGTCAGATGAACCATGCCAGACAGACATGTACATCTTACAATCAATCTATGCTATAAATATAGTTGACCTATTGCTTATAGTATCTAAGAAACAAACTTAACCAGGAAAACTTAATATTGACCAATGAACCATGAAAATGAGATCAAGGTCAGATGATACCTGCCAGACAGACATATACACCTTACAATCATTCCATACACCAAATATAGTGGACCTATTGCTTATAGTTTAAGAAAAATAGACCAAAACACAAAAACTTAACACTGAGCAATGAACCGTAAAAATAAGGTCAAGGTCAAATAAAACCTGCCAAACTGACATGTACATCGTAAAATATTTCCATACACCAAATATAGTTTACCTATTGCATATAGTATTAGATAAAAAGGCCAAAGCACCAAAAACTTAACTTCAACCACTGAACCATGAAAAATGAGGTCAAGGTCAGATGACACATGGCAGTTGGACATGTACACCTTACAATCATTCCATACACCAAATATATTAGACCTATTGCTTATAGTATCTGATATATGGACTTGACCAAACCAAGTTCACTGATCTATTAAATGAGGTCGATGTCAGATGAAAACTGTCTGACAGGCATGAGGACCATGAAGGTACGCATATACTAAATATAGTTATCCTATTACTCATGATAAAGAGAGAAATTAACATTACAAAAAATCTTAACCCTTTTTTCAAGTAGTCACTGAACCATGAAAATGAGGTCAAGGAAAATTAACATATGACAGACGGAAACTTCATAACATAAGGCATCTATATACAAAGTATGAAGCATCCAGGTCTTCCACCTTCTAAAATATAAAGCTTTTAAGTAGTTAGTTAACGACGCCGCCGCCGGATCACTATCCCTATGTCGAGCTTTCTGCAACAGAAGTCGCAAGCTCGACAAAAAATCTTGATGATGTCAGTTTCAGATAACCTTTTTTTCTAAATCAAAGTGTTTTCTTTAAATTATGATTCTATCTTATTTGGCCATTCTTTTTTATGAAACAAAGTTGGACTAATTCTTTCAAAATTTCTTTAAGTTTTAAATTGATGATTACTTGTGTAAAGAGTAGAGAAGTCAATTTTTGTTTATACAAATGCACGAGGAAAGGGACTCAGGTTGTAAATCTAACAATTCTTTGGAATGTTTGAGTATCCAAACCTGAATCACACCGCCCGTAGTGCAGTTAGTTTCACAGTAACTCTGAAGTAATTTAACTTTTAACTTATGTAAGGATGTTAATTATTCGTTTAACATTGGCATTTACAGCGATATTGTTGAATTAAATACAATTTTAGTAATAAGAAATGCAAAATGTGTTTCTTTTACTGTATGGACTTTAACTTCACATTCCGCTACATAGATGATGTTCTTTCACTGAATAATTAAAAGTTTGGTGACTATTTTAGAGGCATGTATACCACTGAAGTTGAAACCAAGGATACAACAGATACAGTTGAGTCTGCTTCATATCTTCACCTTTATCGAGAATTGACAACGGTTGATAGACTTTATGATGGCCTGTACGTAGAAGGTCTTCACTTTCGCGACTTTTTTTGGTATTCCCTTTCGCGACTTTTTTGGTATTCAGTGGATATTTATGTCATTGTCAAACATACAACATCTATTTACATACTAACATAACAATAAAATCACCCATCGACAAGCCAATATATATAATAAGCGTAATTGATTTATTTTTACAAAAACATCTTAAACCAGTAAATAAAAAGTTAAGTTCAATGTGATCACGTGTTCAAAACTCGTCGTGGAATGCGTAGTACTTGTGATCTTTGGCACTAAAATATAGAAAACATGTAAATCTTTAATACTTGTTTAATAAAAATTGTTAGCTTAAAAATGTACTAGGAGCATTGTTTTAATGCAAACTAATTGTACTTACTTGTACGTTTTAATAGATTTGCAACATTTGGTCTAAAATATTCCATTTTTCAAAAATACCATTATAAATAAATTACATGCACCATTCAAAATTGATTTATTTGTTCGAAATACATCACACATCACAGGAAAACTTTATTTTGGGCAATGTGTGAAGTTGCTTTTGTGAAAAAATCCGAAAAATGTAATTTTACCAAAACTATCATAATAGAAAAATGTTATTTTACTAAAACTTTATTTAAGCTTTAACTCCCATAGGTAACGTTAGTCTTAGTTCTTGCTCTGTCATTTTGTTTTGATGTTCAAAAGTTGTATGAATCTGTCTTTCCATACTTTAGATATGGAGCGTATTCAATGGAGGTTATTATAGAAACAAGCGTCGTGCGCACGGTAAATTCTATTATATATCTTTATTATCATCAAATCAAATAATATTTAGTCTCTCCAGTAAAGACAACTTATACACACATGTGTTATATTCAGAGGAAGATAATTGAATAGGATATAACTACATATAATAGAAGTACTAAAGTATACAATATGGCACTTCCGTGTGCATATCAACAAGTTACTACAACTTTTTGATTATTACAACCAAACAAATTAAAACAAAGTACGAATGACCCTTTTACTTTTTATTACCTTACCCAGAGCGCATAACCGATGGCCGATATTGCGGTTGTATGTGTGTGCATGTGACTGCTTGGATTGATAATTTGGTGTTCGCGGGCTTTTCGTCACCTCCTCCTTTTCTATTCTTAGGTTTCGTTCAAGTATTTTTTTATTGTACATTTTAGAATTTTGTCCACGTATGAGGTAATTTGTTAGAACTTCTTGTTATATCAAAAAAATAAAAATGTATCATGAATAAATATGATCTATTTGCTACATGTATCCTCATACATTTTTCTATTTATAAATGTAATATTCCTATTTACAATATTCCTATTTACCGTTGGCAATTTAGATCGACGAATTAACCACTTTAATATCATAATCTAGAAATGTACCTTCAAAGTCTGTTTTGGAGACCTTTTCGTAAAATTTATGTTTGCATTTATGTTAGCTTCGACTTATCATGATGCAGAAAATTCTTTCAGTAATACATGTACATATACCCTTAGGAAATGTAGTCCATTATAATGGTAATGAACTCATAAGCAACACAAAACTCACATAGGTTCACCATAAAAACGTAGATTTTTGTTCAATGACCATATTTTCTGCATTTCTTCATCCGTAAGACTGAAACTAAATACCTGCAAAATTCGTAATAAGAAATGTTAATTCATTATTTGCTTTTTATCATTTAAACATCTGTTACTGACAAAACCATTAAACTTTCTTAGTACTCAGTTTGCATGTAACTATTCTATAGCTTGTTTTTAATTTTTCCGTCTCATTTTAGAAACATAAATTAATTGTTTTGTGTAATCAGACGGACTTCAATATATCAATAAACAGTTGGCACCCTTTAATAGATTATAGTTTGCCTACAGTCATGGATAAATCTAAGAGGGGCGTTAAGATGGGGTGTCATCCCGAATTCCCGAAAAAAAATAAAACATTCTTTCCCGTTTGCCGAAGAATTAATCATTAATTCCCGAATCCCTATAAGTAAGTGTAAATACCGAATTCCCGCGAAATAAAGGCCCAAATCCCGAATTCCCGCAAAAATAAAGGCCCAATCCGGGCGTACCGAAAAAGGTCCTTCTGCCCCTCATTTCAAGCCCCCCTCTACTTGTTAAAGAACAACAAGAACACACATATATATATATATGTGCACTTGATATTTAACAGAATACCTTTCATTGGTCGTGAAGCTTTTCCTTGATTTTCTTTTTTAATAATTCATTTTCAATGTTTGAATTCAGATTTTGAGTCCTCGAATTTTTTTAAGTTTCAAATTTAGATTCGCGTTGTGAAATAGTGTCTCGTGGGACAATAAAGGTGCTTTTCCCTCATAGCCAGTAGATAAGTGTATACTATGGATCAGAATTTTATATTATAGTAAATGTACTAAAATGTAATACTTACATCAAAGTTTTCCTTAATTCTACTAGGTGTGACAGATTTTGGTATAACAACCAAATTTCTTTGAAGATGAAATCGTAGTACGACCTAAAATTACATAATCAATATTCTATCGGACAGGTTGTAGGGCAATGGTTTATAGAAGAGCAAAGTATATATATATCCTAAATTGAGGTAAATTATATGGCCTTCCAAATACCGTTTCGATTCCTAACATCACTGAAGAGACATTAATTGTCGAAATCCGGATATGGTGTACAAATTTTTGCACCTCATGTTTGCGGTATACCATCTTTTCCGCAGGTTTGTTGTTTTCTGTTTGGTATTAAATTAATAATAAAGATCCATTTTGTTACATCTTGTGATCCGTTTATTTGGCAATCGCCAATGGCAGTCAGCAGGGTTTAAGAACATTCGTTGTTCGACCTGTTAGTCAAATGCGTTTTGTTAAAATATACTTTTTCACTTTTTTGGTCTTTTGGAAAATGTAATCAATATACTATCGGACAGGTTGTAGGGCAATGGTTTATAGAAGAGCAAAGTATATATATATCCTAAATTGAGGTCAATTATATGGCCTTCCAAATACCGTTTCGATTCCTAACATCACTGAAGAGACATTAATTGTCGAAATCCGGATATGGTGTACAAATTTTTGCACCTCATGTTTGCGGTATACCATCTTTTCCGCAGGTTTATTGTTTTCTGTTTGGTATTAAATTAATAATAAAGATCCATTTTGTTACATCTTGTGATCCGTTTATTTGGCAATCGCCAATGGCAGTCAGCAGGGTTTAAGAACATTCGTTGTTCGACCTGTTAGTCAAATGCGTTTTGTTAAAATATACTTTTTCACTTTCTTGGTCTTTTGAAAAATGCTGTTTGTGCTATATTTAGACCCCTCTACCAAGCAATTTGTTTTGCATGCACACGTATAAAAATTGCGGTTTTTATCCAACGCAATCCTAGGTTTGAACGTTGTTTTCAATTTAGACTTGTATATATATATATTTATATATATATGTTGTGTACAAGTTATCATTTTGTACAAATTATAATTTGTACAAAAAATTTGTACAAATTATAATTTGTATTTTGACTTTGTACAAATTGTAATTTGTACAAAAAGTGCTTGTACAAATAACAATTTGTACAAAATTTGACTAAAATTCACTTATAACTTGTGATTTTGTGATAAAAAAGTATTGATACACACTAGAAACTTTTCAATGCAATTTTTCAAGTCATATTGATTCATGTATATTGCCTTGAGGTTATAAATTAAACTCCTGTTCACTGGTCTTTATATCTTTATTCTTATAAAGCCAATGCATTACATCGATACAGAGATAAACTGGTCTTTCAAATGGTCATTTGCAAAAATTAAAAATTAAAGTGTTCACTAAAATGGCTAGTACTGTTGATCAACAGGATAAATTCTATCAAGAAGTTCAGCAATTGTGTCTGAAGGTTTGCGCTTTGTGGATCAACTTGTACAACTATTAAAGTTGTATCAGAGGAAGTCGAAAACGGGCATTGTCTGGCCAACAAATTCAAGCGGATGTCCTAACAAGAAATACAAAACAGAAACTGAGCAAGTTATCTATTGGAGACAATGTCCCAATTCCACAGTATGACTGAGCACCGAACGATCCGAGGAATATACAAGGTGTTGTTGTGGAAGTAGGAAATGTTGGATATTGTGTAGGGACAATAGCTTGTAATATATCAGGAGTCTTAAGCAGAAACCAACTAGAATCAATTAATGACACTTTTTTTGTCTGTTACACAATTTCTTGATTTACAACTTTCCCTGAGGGAAGCTGTCAAAAAAATTTCAAAAACTGGTGGACAGGGTTATCTCTCTTGCAAATTAAGGCGATTGTAACAATTCGAATTTTAAATGCAAAAAGCAGAATATATTGTGTAATTCGAGGTGTCATGGTTCGCACTTCTGCTCCAACAAATAAGAGCACTGTATATTATGTATAGTATTGTAAATGGATTTATCAGTGGGTTTCATATTGATTCATAATTGAAATTAAAATTATTTTTTATCATTTGATTTGAAACATATTCTATGTAAAATATTGTACAAGTTATAAGTGAAATTAAGCCTTATTTTGTACAAATTATTATGTTAACAGGCACTTTTTGTACAAATAACAATTTGTACAAAGTCAAAATACAAATAATAATTTGTACAATTTTTTTGTACAAATTATAATTTGTACAAAATTATAACTTGTACACAAAATATATATCACTACTAGTGTTTCAGTTTGCAAATTGCAAATTGCAGTACCTTGTAGGAGAGTTATATCGACATTGTGCATCGAACAAATTGCACGTACAGTTTATGAAACTTCTTTCGCAGGAGGTCGGAGATATTCATGTTTTACAGTAGTTACTGTGACGATGCATGTAAACAGTTTACTGACAATGCTATCAAATAAGAAACGAGAGGAAGTGCAATAATTTTACTGATACAAGTACGTAAGTCTTAATATCAAGAGAAAAACACGTTTGTAATCAGAACCATGAGAGAAACACGCTACATAAGTAAATGAGTGTGCAGCTTCATTTAAACAAATAAGTTAATAAGATGCATATTATTGAATGCACATGCAGAACGATTGTAATGGCATGTGATACCCTGATTTGTACTACTACTACACTGTTACACATTTTTGCAGTCTGCTCTAAAGTGCCTTTGCTTAACGGAGGGGAAGATTAAAGTATGTTTATAGTCTTTGATATTACTTAACGGAGGAGCAGGTAAAAGTATGTTTATAGTCATTGATATGACTTAACGGAGGAGCAGGTAAAAGTGCTAAAAATGAGGTGGTTTCCTCGGTTGATCTTGACCTGAGATGGGTTTAATGAATATGACTTTTTAACAATTTCGTTCGTCAAAAAAGTATTCTGGATTTACCTTCATCAGAAACGCCCTAGCCCAAACATTTTGAAAACCAAGGATATATAAGACCTAACATGTCACAGTGATGTTATTTATGACCAAAAGGGACATAAAAATAGTCAAATTCGTCAAAGTTCAACTTTGCCTGACGGAGTTAGAACTTTGTTTCCTAATAATTTCTAAATTAATCAACGCAGAATTTAAGAAAATTTTATTAAAAATCATATCACCACGGAAGCACAGACTGCGGAGTTGATGATACCCTCAGGGACTAACAGTCCACCAGCAAAGTGTTATTTTCATTCATTATACCATAAACTTCATGTAAATATATTATGAAATTGTTCTAAACGGGTTTGACTGTTCTGTTTTGGCCTTTTAAATTGCTTTATGTTCAAATTTATACTTTTGGCTTTCTACCCAATGTTTGGTCTCGGACGTAGCTGTTAAAACAAATACTAGTAACACATATATCGTGTCCACAGAAATAGGCACCATTACGTGTTTATCCATGGGATCACTAATATCCCACATCTCCTCTTCCCATTTACTGTGAAATGAAATTATTGCGATGTTTTTATTAATGCGAAAAATGCGACACTATCAGGTTCGCAATATTAAGAACTCGCATTTAAAATTTCAGTAGTGATTTTCCTTCATAAAATGTTTGCATTCGCATTAATTAGATTTCGCATTTTGCAAAAGATTCGCAATAAAATATGCACTCATTAATTTCTGAATTTACAGTACATTAGATTGTTCACGAAGCTTACTTGTGTAATAGATTTTCCTTTTGCTTTTGAAATTTCTTGCAAAACTGGTTCATCAAATATGAGTGGTTCACCTGCATTTTTCCTGAAACGAAAATTATTGTGGAACTGAAAAGGAGAAATTTAAAAAAAAAAAAAAAAGGAAAATTCTAAAAACCATTCAAAAGTATGTTACATTTACTGATTCACTAATGAATCCCTTTAATTATAAAAGAAGCTAGAGCATTTCACTTCACATTCCGGTATACTTACAATGTCCTCGCTATGAATAATCCATATTTTTTTACTCGATTTCCGCCGGAGTTGTAGATTAAACAAACTACAAGAAATCCTTCTGCTGCCTCATTTTAAGACATTCACTTGTGACTTATCACCGAATTCTAGTTGCAATGAAAAACATGGCGGTTGCCACTAGTGGAGCAAGAACTGATTATCCTTCCGGTGAACCTGAGTACACCCTTTTTTGGTTGAGTTCATGTTGCTTTATCTTTTGTTTTCTCTGTATTTTTTTCACTGCTGTTTGTCTTTTTGTCTTTTTCCTGTAGTGCAAGTATTTCTCAGACTAATGGTTTTTGATAGACCAGATAGTACCTTCTTTCTTCTTTAGATGTTAACAAGATTAAACAATTTTACTCAAAGCTATATGACAAACATTATGATTTATATTTTACAATAATTGAGTTTCAACAACAATGTACTTACATTACAAGCTGAACTGCATACGGAATATATGCATCACAACTAATTTGATTTTCAAGAGCTTGCACTGACTATTCAGATTTTAAAATACACCACAAAATTCTCTCTACGAAATTATTAATCCAGCGTTTGTAAGAGAACGTCTCATTCTATTTCAGTAAATTTCATTCTTAAGTACCTGTTTCAAGTCAGGACTGTAAAAGTCCAAGACAATTTTGTTCAAAAGAGGATCGTTTCAAGAGATTCTTCGATATAGAAATATGAAATATGGTATGATTGCCGATGAGACAACTTTCCACCTGAGACCACATGACTTAGAAGTTAGCAACCCTATGACACTGTACGGTCTCCAACAATGAGCAAAACCCAAGCAAGCTATAATATGACAAAAGTAAAACAATTCAAACGAGAAAACTCACCTGAAGTTCATTACTTTATAATTTATTCTCTATTCTTATGTTTTGTCATTATATTGAAGAAATGTCATAACGTAACTAAATGACATTTTTGAAATCAAATAATTTATTTTCATTTTGTTTTTTGTGAAAACCTCAAAATCAGGAAATCTGGTAGTTTTTTTGCAATTTCTCCTAATTTAAGAAATTAAAAGAATTAAAGTAAATATGCATGACAATTACAAATAAGTTATTACATGAGTCTAAAAGATTGCTGAAAGTTATGATACCTTTGCCTTCATTGGCTGAAATGCGGTCATCGCAAAAAATTATAAAGTTAAGGTGGGTCATCTGTATATATATATATATTTCCCGAGATATAATTTTCTTATACTTTGCCAAGATGTAGATTTTACCATGTTTTTTTTTCAAAAATGTAATAAACAGTATGGGTCACCGTGCTATTTTTCAAGCAACTAGTTGTGGAAAATTGCCCTATTTTGCATAGATTTTTCATGAAAAAAACTTTTTTATGAATAAAAATAAATTTATGAGAAAAAATTTTGAAATGAAACATGATAAGGTAGATTTTATAATATGCATTAAGAAAATAAAAAGAAAAAATGGTGTCATCGAACTTGTTTTCTTGCTACAAGTATAAAAAGAAAATTCCATTAACATTCCCGTATAATAATTTTACTTTAGAGTTATGTCCCCCTTTAAATTTAAGCAATGATCTATACTCGATTGTTTACTGCTATTTTACAATCCAAGATGGCGGTATACAGTGAATCTACCTTAAAAGTTGCTTACCAAGTTCTTCCTGCATTTCCCAGGGGTGCATATGCTGTCACTGACATTCCAATTGATTGGCAGAACTCAACTAATTTTTTATTGGAAAAATATGGATGTATTTCGATCTACCAAAGACAAAAAATAAATGGATAAATCAATAAAAACAAATTTATATTTAAATGATTTCAGCTTCCAATTGTGAACTTTTCAGTTCTATGTAGCAACATCCCAGCAGCGCCTGCATACGGAGTATATATCTCCCAGTTGATACGATATTTACAGGGCTTGAATATCCTATAATGATTTCCTTGATAGAAGGTAACTGCTCACAAGGAAGCTGTCAACATATATTTGTTCCACCTAACAGAAGTTCCACTGGAAACTTTGTTATAAACAATGTCATAATATATGTTCCTGTTGGAACAAATATTCTATAACCTTTATTCCGTAAGGAACAAATACTGTAATATTTGTTCCAATGGAAATAATATTACTGAATATTTCTGCCACTTGGAACTTATATTATGAAGGAACTTCTATTTCGTGACAAAGCTATTAAACCAAGAGTTCCAAGTGGTGAAGTTGATATTATCCCGTCGTAAATTTTACGGACGCAATCACGAGTTGGTTGACAGTAATGAAATATCTGTTTCCCAGATGACAACGGATATGTTCCAATTGTAACCACAATCATGTACCCTGCCGAATTATACTTATCACCGGGTTTGTACTAACATGAGCAACACGACGAAGGCCACGTGTTAGCAGGATCTGCTTACCCTTCCGGAGCACCTGAGATCACTCCCAGTTTTTGTTTTGGTGGGATTCGTGTTGCTCAATCTTTAGTTTTCTATGTTGGTATCTTTCACCTCTCTTTTATAGTACAAAGTTGAATAAAACAATGAGTTAAAAAATTATATGATTATTATTTCATGAAAACAAAAATAGTATAACGGCTTGCCCTTCCGGTCAAATATATGAAAGCATGTAAACAGTTCATTTTGTTTCTTATTCAATATAAACATTTGTATACTAAAGTAATTATCTCAATTGAAATTTTGAATGAAAAAATTAGTTGAAATAAATGATACTACTATATATTAAAAAAAAACAAATACCTGCATATTACATGGTTTTATTCTCGCATTTTTCATCAGTCTCTCAGTCTGAGCTTTATTAAAATTTGAAATTCCAATGTTTTCAACCAGTTTTGCATCTACAAGTTCTTCCATTGCCTGAATATAAACACAACCATTAGAAATACTAAAACATTTCTACTAAAGTTTTTATATGAAACTAGCATGTAAAAGTAAATATCTTTACATAGTATTAGTGAACCATCCAGAGGTCAACACATCTACGTTATTCAACAATACACAAGTGTTCATATCGCATGCCAGGCTCTTAATATAGTCAGAGATCTGCAAGTATTCCCAGTCTTTGACTTCAACGTAATTTGGTCTCTGGTGCAGAGTTGTCTCATTTGCAATTATAATACATCTTCTTATTTCTATTTTTATTCATATATCGATTTGTAAATGCTAAATGGATTTACGAGATTTGAACATCGGTAAACTACGGTTGCATTTAAATCAGATATATCAAAATTAAAACCCTCAATTATATTTTACTGAAACTGTTTTTTACCTTCCATGTATCGACGTAGTCGTGGTCAGAAAATATAACATTTCCATCTTTGTCTTTTGGGAACATGTCATCTCCATCCTAAAATAAAATCTTGCTTGTGGTATTTCCTATCGTTTAATAGAATATGTAATAAGACAAATTATGAGGTCTATCTTGACATGAGGGTCTGGATGGGGGATCCTTTAATTCTGTATTCTTCAAATTATTTAGCCATTTTTCACTATTCTTCATACATTTTGCACATTATTCTCTATTCTTTATATTTTATCACCACATTATTCTTTATTCTTTATTTTTATTTTGCCTATTTTCTGTAATATAAGCCCATTGTTCTCTATTCTGTAACCCCATCTAGACCCTCTGTCATGTAATCCGATAAATATAAAACATATAGCGAAGCATCTTTCGTCTTTCTCGTTCACAATTCCTTTGTTTGAAATAAGCCGCAATATTTATTCGGCGTTTTGCATTTGCGCCGATCTGCATTTCATTTGCGCCGATTTTTTCTTTCATTTGCGCCGATTTTTTTTTCATTTGCGCCGATTTTTTTACAGGTAATTTCCAGGTAAGTCACAGGTGAATGTTATTTTTCATTTATCATCATAGACCTCTTCCGTTAACCAGTTGTACAAATTTTATGAATTGTCAATCAATTGGGATAGCCATTTACCAATGTCACTTAATTTGATTGTATACTCTGTGCTCAGCCCAACAGAGTGGATTTTCCTCAACCAGTTCTGAGACAGATGAAAACGACAACAATATTCTACATTGTGGAAAAGCACCAACAATTGCGTTATGCATTTCTTGTTCAAAGTCAATATATATATGCATAACCTCGGCCACAAAGGAAAGTTTTTGACGGCAGAGATCGCAAATTATTTACCCCATCACTTCATAACACTGTTCATCTTTCGCTGGTAAGAGGGCGTAAATTAAAGGCACTACGTAGTTTCCTTATTTATATCCGTGTAAAGTATATAACTTATAAAAGTATTTCGGACAGCACTTAAAAGTTCCATCTATAAATATTGCAGACATATCATTGCAAAGAGATTCAAGATTGAGGTGTGTAGAAAGAATAAGCATACCTTTCTCGCGATCAATTTACCAACCTTCCGATATGTATGGCCAGTATTTACTCACCTATGTTATACTGAAAATGCAATTAGGAGCAAATACAATAAAATCGGCGCAAATGAAAAAATGAAATCGGCGCAAATGAAAGAATTAATTTTTTCAAAATCGGCGCAAATGTCATATATGCTTTAGTGTTCAGACTGTCGATGTAACCAGTAAACAGTCGTGAAAACCAATAGAAACCCGAATTCTGTTCAGAGTAGAACGTATGAATGGATGATTTGGTTTACAAATATTTACCTTAAAACCAAATGGCCAGTGCAATAGGAATAACTGTACAGAGTCTACTCTGAGGAGTTTTAGAGACTTCATTGTATTCTCTTTTACATCTTTTGGGTTATGATGAGTATCCCATAGCTGTTAATAAGAAAAGTTCATTATGTATCAAAAAGTTGGCAAAGAATTCCATCAGAATATTATGTAATCACGTATTTTGCTATTTACATAATATGTATGTCATTGTCATGTTTCATATTATTCTTCATAATGATATGAATATGTTAAAACACTTCCTACAAAATGTGCATTTATTTTGTTATCATCCTTGGTCAAATCCTCTTATATGGAACGCCACAGCTGTCTTATGTGCAACTCTGATATTACGTTATGTTGTTTTATTATTACTTGATGATATTTTGTCTTTACATAATATGGTTTTGACATTACGTAATGATGTTTTGATATTACACGATATGGTTTCGTATTGACTTGATATAGTTTTGTCATTACTTATTAAATATGGTTTTGTCATTACTCGATGTGGTTTCGCCATTATTTAATGTGGTTGTGTCATAAGGCAATGTGGTTTTAACATTACTTGATGTGTATGTGACTTAACGTAATGTAGTTGTTTCATTACATGATGTGGTTTTGTTATTTCGTAATGATGATTTGCCAATTCTTTATATGGATTTAACATTACGTAATGATGTTTCAAAATTTGACGATTTTACACTACATGATGTGTTTGTTTCAGTATTTGATGTGGTCCTGTCATTCTTTGATGTGGTTATCACATTACTTGATGAGGTAAAACCACGTGACCATTTCGGAAAAAAAACTAGTTCTATTTTTAAACCGATTTCCATATGTCGTTTGTTTAATGTGCTTTGGATGAGTATCGCTATCCATTGAGTTAAAGTTCAAATTAAAGTTCGAGTTGTTGTTCAGAGTTATTTGTTATGAAAAAGGGGAACGGCAGACAAAAATAAGAAAAAAAGTACTAAACAATTAACTGTTACAGTATTTCGGACATAAGGGGGATATCCCTAAACCACTTGGTCCTGCCGTTTTTCCTTTGTTCTCAAATGGAAGCAGTATTATAATAAATTCGTAAAAGATTCAACGGAACCCTGTGTCTCGCCTGATATTGCTGCTGTCAGTGTAAAAGCGTAATGTTGACTGTACATTTATCGGTACATTTATCGGTAAAAACAAAATTTAAAAAGAAATGTTTTTCTGTAGATGCTTTATCTTGATCTTGAAGAATAACTCCTATACAAGTTTTATAACAATTCATGGAGGTTTACAAATTTATCATGTCAAAACAGTTTAATTCGGTAATATTTAATGCAAAAAAAACTTTATATAAAAATAAGAAAATGTGGTATGATTGACAATGAGACAACTCTCAACCACATACCAAATGACGTAGAAGTTAACAACTATTTGTGACTGTATGGTCTTCAACAATGAGCAAAACACATACCACATAGTAAGCTATAAAAGGTCCCGAAATGAAAAATGTAAAAACAATTCAAACGAGAAACCTAACGATCTAAATGATGAAGACGCCGACGCCATAACCGACGACGGAATATAGGTTTGTTGTGTCTCACTGCCGCTACATTAATGTCGCAGGCTCCACAAAAATCAAAAGACTTGTACTTTATTGTAAACAAATGAGACACTTTAAATCAACTCACACTAAAGTTACAGGGAAATGGGGGGATCGGACTAGCGACAAAGCATCAATTCTATAAAATAAGAATTCTCCGATTTTTTTTTAGCGTGTATGATCATTTGAACATATACGAATATCAATCTTTTATTTTTATAAATTGCATTCTCTGATTTACCTCGCAGTAATTGAAAAAACAAACTTTTTGGAATATCTGTTTCACAGGTGACGACGGATATGTTCCAGTTGTCGTAACCACAATCCCGTCATCTTTTCCTCGAATGTGAACTACCAAATTAAAACAAAATCACTGGGTTTGTATTTTCACGAATAACACGACGGGTGCCACACTTTGAGCAGAATCTGCTTACCCTTCCGGAGCACCCGAGATCACCCCCGATGGATTTTTATTACCCAGTCATACCGATCTATTGAGTTAAGCCAATTGAAACTGTTTTTACAATTTTTTTTCTTATGTTGTGCTTTTACACAACAGTCCGAGGTTAGGTAAGGGTTTAGCGCTCACATACAAAGCCACGTTAAACTCCGACACGTGCACTTTCTTGATGTGGCTGCCCCAAGTCAAGAGCCTGTAGTTCAATGGTTGGTGTTGTTTCATGTGTGTCATATTTGTTTTTCGTAGATTGTTTAGTTATAAATTAGACCGTTAGTTTTCTCGTTTGAATTGTTTCACATTTTCACGTGGTGGCCTTTTGTAGCCGACTATACGGTGTGTTGAAGGCTGTACGGTTGCCTATGATTGCTTACATCCACTGCATTTAAACTCTGGTGGATAGTTGTCTCATTGGCAATCACAGCACATCTAACTTTATTTCAATTTCTATGTTGTGTTTTGTATACTGTAACATTGTTTATATTTTGTACGCATACCCCTGAGCCCTCTTTTCGGAAGCCCGAGCAAAAGCCCTTGATCCGCGATAGAAAATTTAAATACGAACTCATATTAGATAACTCGAATTTCAACTCGAAATCTTAATCTAAATGAGACTCAAATTCGAGTCTAACTCGAACTCTACCCCAAAAGGTGACTCAAATTCAAAGTTGAAGTCGAATTGTAATTCGAACTCTACCTTTAAATGTGACTCAAACTCGAAGTTCAACTCGAAACTCAATGCTTACTAGAACTTTAATTCTAATAATGGCTTGAATTCTAACTCGATATCGAAGACTAACTCAAAGTTTAACTCGAACAGTAACCCGAACTTTAATTTGAACTCTAACTCGATAAATGGCCACACTCATCCAAGGCACATAAAACATGGAAATCTATTTAAAAATAGAACTAGTTTTTCCGAATTGGTCATGTGGTTTTACCTCATCAAGTAATGTGATAACCACATCAAAGAATGACAGGATCACATCAAATACTGAAACAAACACATCATGTAGTTTAAAATCGTCAATTTTTGAACATCATTACGTAATGTTAAAGCCATGTAAAGAATTGGCAAATCATCATTACGAAATAACAAAACCACTTCATGTAATGAAACAACTACATTACGTTAAGTCACATACACATCAAGTAATGTTAAAACCACATTGCCTAATGACACAACCACATTAAATAATGGTGAAACCACATCGAGTAATGACAAAACCATATTAAGTAATGACAAAACTATATCAAGTCAATACGAAACCATATCGTGTAATATCGAAATATCATTAAGTAATGACTATTCCATATTGAGTTATATCAAAACATCATTACGTTATGTCAAAACCATATTATGTAAAGACAAAATATCATCAAGTAATAATAAAACAACATAACGTAATATCAGAGTTCCACATAAGACAGCTGTGGCGTTCCATACTCGTAGTTTGTTTTTGTCCTGCATATGTTCAAGCTGAATTATAATCAATTTGACAATGATACCTTGGCCTGTGTTATACAAATACTCGATTATTCATGTTCCCGCACCTTTAAATTGGTGAATTTGGTTGATTATAATTATTCTTTGACATCTCCGTTACATCTTTGTTGCCTAATCTTTACAGTAAAAACTTGCTTCAATAACTTTTTTATAGTGAGAAATGTTAACAAGAACCCGAAGTGTCAGTTGAAATGAATACTGAAGCAAATATATATACACAAACCTTTGTTGTGATGAATATTTCTTTCTTGCTTTTAATTGTTCCGTCGTCTAGTTTTGCTTGTATTGCATCCCCTACTTCGCCTTCGTTTCCATAAACACGGGCAGCATCTACATGACGGTATCCAATATCAATCGCATATTTAACTGCTTCAAAAACAGCACCTGGGCCACCCTATAGTGAGATGTGAATTTGTTAACATGTGAAATGACACAAGAGCTGTTATTCCCATGTGGGTATTCCCCTTTGCATGGTTTATTCACCAAATTCAAAAACTTTAATATCTGATATTCTTCCAATTGCATTTTCTAATATATAATTTCTTTTTGTGTTATCCTGCGTTTCTAACTGTATTCTAGAAAAATACAAACATGAGTTAATCGTAGATCCCGAAAAACCTGCGATGAAAGCTATATGGGTCATTTTCAAAAAATGTCGAATTTTGAAATTGCAAAATTGATTTAAAGTTACTTATTCAAACAACCCTCGTCATAAGCAAATCAAAACAAACAGTACTTATAGAACAACATATAAAAAAATGCAATCTTGATAATGTCATACAAGAATATATTGAAACATTTTTTGATAGGTGGTGCAATATTTTGTCTCTCCTGTTACCATGTTCAAAAGAAATTCCGGGTTATTCAGAAAAGGTTTCGATAAAATTTTAAGCTTGTTTTTCGTAGCCAATAAGATGGTTTTCAAGAGTAAAAACTTCTAAATATATTCCTTCTGTGAAACAATAGATTATTTGCCAATTTTCCATCTTGTACTGAAAAATGCCTCTAAAAATTGGTTTTCAAAGGTTATAAAAATAACCACCAGTAATGCAAGTCTAAGATAGCAATTCATAATGCATGTTCAGCATTTGTTCTCTCTTTCAAATAAACCCAACATCAAGTAAATCCCTCGCACGTTGGTTTACTTTTGTCTTTATTTTATTGGTAACAGGAACGTACGTTAATGATATATCACTATATTAAGTTCTATCCTGTTACATTTTTGTCTATCCTGTTACCGATAGCAGTATTGCACCTGCAAATGCTAAATTGCGAAGATTAAGACGTTATAACCTTGAGATTAGTTCAAACAACGAAACATTTCATTATGTGTGCAACTATATGTTATTATAAACTTTTTAAAGACGTTTCTGTTTACTATTGTCTATCCTGTTACTGTAACCATAGCAACCATAGTAACAGGATAGACAGAACAGGATAGACAAATATCTTCATTTTTGAATGCTGTTATGAAATAACTACTCCCTTTGATGAAGTGATAATGTTTTTCTGTTGTGATTTTGGTTTCAAACACGTTATTGCACTTTTTGCAAGTATGATATTGGTGTAATTAATCAATATGTTGGTAACAGCATAGACATGACAAAAAAGTACACACTATTTTTTTTCACTAAATGTCTTGAAATTTCTTTTCTCTACACTGTTATACAAGAAACGTGCCGTGTTAAATGTTTAGGTTACTTTGCGCTTTTGAAATCAACACTGATTACTTCAATATTCATAGAGAGAAAAATTTAACGGCTGATTTAAGTAGCGGTAACAGGATGGACATGAACTTCATGTACGCTGATTGAATTAAGTTTGTAGAAAAAATGTTACATATAATAATAAAGAAGCTACGATTTTTCGTTAGAGTTATTATTTACGTTCTAAAAAAAGTCCCTTTTGCAGGTATCAAGGCGATCTGAAAATAGGAAAAAAAATCATTTGAAATGTGTTACTCGGACACTGTACGCACATAAATAACGCAAAAATCGGACTTAAATATATATTAATCTTATCAAAATAGATCTAAATCGTGTTTATTATTAATGTTCTGACTCATAAATCCTACAAACTTTCATTTAAACACTTACAACTGCATTTTCCGTTAGAAATAAAAATTTTAGCATGGGTGTACTGAAAATTCGACATTTTTTAAAAATGACCCATATATGATTATATGTCATATAAAATGTACATGTGTTATCGATCTTATCAATTCTGTTTTAGGAGGCTTAATATACAGGTAACTCTGAATTAATAACCAATGTAAATGTGAAGATAAAAATAAACTTACTGTTGCATTAAAAACTGTAAACGTTCCCAACCCAATAACAGGATATTTTGCACCACTTGGAAGTGTAATGTATTTAGGTATTTCTGCAGCCATGATTTCTCTACACTCACTGTAGTAGATAACAGTGTGTGTATCAATTTTATTATCATTGATTATCAGAATAGATCATGCCACGTTTACACGGGAAGATAAAGTCAGACTTTTAAAATGTCAATTACGTTTGTTTCTTGGGTAGTAAGGAATTCGAAATATTAGATTATCAAACAAAAGTGACCAATGTTTATCTTTTGAATAAACTTTGAATATAAAACATTTTTCATGTCGGGGCCTTTTATAGCCGACTACACGGTATGGGTTTTTTCTTATTGTTGAAGGCCATACGGTCACCTATAGTTGCTTATATCCACGTCATGTTTACTCTATTGGATAGTTGTCTTCTTGGCAATCATACCGCACCTACTTATTTCAAAGGAAAGGCCATTCTGGTAGCGTTAATGATTCCTGTGTATTTTAATTTATAACTATTGAGAATAATAATTCAGCTTAAAATGTATATTTTGTCATTTTGTTGATTTATTTTCTTATATTGCTAAACGTCTGTCGTCTGTCTTGCACCTTTAAAAAATGTGTATTTAACCATGCACTGGACCTGTGTCATCTCTACTTTGAAAGGTATGTCTATATAAACAATCAAAAATGTTTAATATGACTAAAACAGCAAGCAAGAGTAAAATGCAACAACTAGTATAATATATTACCAACCATGATAAATAGAAAAAAACTGGGATACAGAAATGCTAAAATGTAAACATCCGCCAACAATATATTCTACCAACATATTCAGACGTCTTCTTATGGAAGTAATTGCCCTATAACAAAATTTGACTAAAGAGCTGTGTCTGCTTGAAATTGAGGAATTTAACATAGAAAGCAATGGGGCCATGAATTAGTGGTGTACTTCCTGAAGGCCACTCTTTCATGTTCATATCAAATATTTGGTACAGGGGCAAACTGAGCTAATATATACGATATGGTTAATATAACTTACTTAACTGGTGAAGATTACATGGACACATGGAGTTACACGTTTTTGTGCTATGTTCATATCAGATTGTTTGATTGGGGGGTGGAAAAATCTTTGTATTGTGCTACCTTAACTGTAGAAATTGGATAACTCCTTTAAGCTGCTGGTGAAATTAACATTAAATATGATTTTTTAATATTTCAAGAAATGAAAGCTTATATCTCAAGAATTGTATAGGAACACTGTAAACACTTCAATTTTACTTTAAGACGGTCAAACTTAAGTCTCATATTTTATAAAAGTATCTAGCTACATACACTTCCATAGCACATAGATTTGGTTTGGTATTTGTTGTCACTTATATTTTAATGTGATAATATGGTATTTTTAGCTCAACTGGCCCATGGGACCAGGTGAGCTTTTCTCATCACTTGGCGTACGTCGTCCATCATCGTCATCAATTAAATTTTTTTTTAATCTTCTCCTCTGAAACTACCCGGCCAAATTTAACCATACTTGACCACAGTCATCATTAGAGTATCTAGTTTTAAAAATCGTCAGGGTTCCGCGGAACCCAGTGTCTCGCCTTCTTTTTCTGTTAGTTGCAGGCTCAACAAAAATGGGGAAAAAATTATTAAAAATTTTCCTCTAGATACTATCTTTTGATTATAAGATGTTCTGTTCAAGTTTGGTAAAAATCCAAGAAGGTTTATGAATCTAATAAATGTTTTTAAAACTTTAACTGCAGACTGTACGTAATGTTAACTGGAATAAAACTAAGTCCATTTAAAAGTAATATACGGAAAAACAGGAAATAATTTTTTACAAAATTTCCTTCTAGAAACTAGCTTTTGATCATAAACAAGCTTCTGTCCAAGTTTGGTACAAATCCAGGATAGTTTAAGAAAGTTATTAAAATTTTGAAAGCTTTAACCACAGAGTGAATGTAATGTTAGCTGACAGAAAAACTAAGTCTATTTATAAATAGAATACGGAAAAACAGGATTTTTTTTTAACAAAATTTACTTTTGAATTACTATCTTATGATCACAAACAAGCTTCTGTCCAAGTGTGGTACAAATCCAGGATAGTTATTAAAATTTGAAAAACTTTAACCACAGAGTGAATGTTATGTTAACTGGCAGAAAAACTAAGTCCATTTATGAGTAAAATACGGATTAACAGGATTTTTTTTTTACAAAATTTACTTCTGGATACTATCTTATGATCATAAACAAGCTTGGTTGAAATCCAGGATAGTTTAAGAAAGTTATTAAAATTTCAAAAACTTTAACCACAGAGTGAATATTTGTGGACGCCGCCGCCGACGACGACGCCGACGGAATGTAGGATTGCTATGTCTCGCTTTTGCGACAAAAGTCGCAGGCTCGACAAAAATGTGTCCGGTTACCCCGCCTGCCAACCGACATGGCTAAAAAGTTCAAATGTCTACAGTACGGTTGCAATGTCTTTCAATGTCCCAAACTTAGTTCAACATTACATCACCATATTTAAGTATACAATGTTGTGTTCCACTCAAAACTTAGATATCAATGATACTTGGTATTTTAAAAATCCACCACCAGAGTGTGTGTCAAATATAAGGTTAAAGTGTCCATATTGAAGGTCAAGGTCAATACTTTGTATAGTACATGATAAAAACAATGGACATTTTTTGAGCTCTGCTCACAGTTAAATATGTTTTTCCACCAGCAGATAGTAAGATAGCAATAAATTATTAATTTTCAGCTTGAAATAAAAAAAAATTAATTGCCAACGTTTTGTGTTAAAAGAGCCCATATTATAAACACTTTTGATCAGTAGACACCTCAGTACCAATACATAAATAAAATCTCAAATAAATTTTCTATACAATGTTCTGGAAATTAAGTCCCTGGACATTTATATTGCATGAAAATTTTAACATTAATTCTGGTATTTTGATCAGAAAAAATGAGAGGATGACGACGCCGACGACGACGAAGATGCTGAGCTGGATTTTTTTAACATGCTAGTTCACAATGTAAACAGTCGACATGAAGACTTGTCACCCTACCTGGACACATTATTGTGACTCCGAGTCGAGTTTAGCGATACCCAGCAAATACCAACAAATCTTTGGTTTGACTCTTCTTATTCGAACACACGACCTTCACCGAGGCAAAAACGCGTTACCATAGGACCGCCGAGGTGGTTTTAGAGGTTTGAATATTCCATGCATGTCAATAGAATGTCTTTTTGACCAATTTTGTATTTTCCTTGTAATGGTAGATTTCTTTTTTCGGACTTAATTTTACTATCGGAAGTCGACCATTAAATATTCAACTAATGCAAAAAATTACATCATTTTAAGACTGATATAGAATAGAATAGAATAGAATAGAATAGAATATTTTTATTTACCAAATTAGGGACCCAGGAGGGCATATAGCATACAAACAATATTATTATAAACAATAACATATGCAATACACAGACAATAGATATGTAACCTGTGTTATAAAAACAATAAAATAGAATAATATACTACAGAAAATACACTCAACAAAATAGTAGCAATGTTTTATTATTCAATGAATACTATGTTGACATTGACTCAAGTGCACCCGGTAAGTGTATTTTCACTTTGAAAGACAAACAAGAGGCATTAGTAGTTTGTGCGGAGAAATCTCAATATAAAAAAAACACAAAAAAAAAAAAAAAAAAAAAAACAATTTAAGCGCTTGCACATTTGACTATGAGGTATACTGCAAATAACAAGTTAGTATATTTAATAAAGGATATTTAATATGACTTATCTGCAAAAAGCACCAAGAGTCGGTGCTTAAAGGGAAGTCCCTACTTGTACTTAATGCAGATGAGTCAAACTCCTTAATTATTTAAAATATATTTTAAAAACATATTTTTAAGATTATAGATTCTGTGTCCAGCCAGCAAAGATCATCAAGGGACGGTGCCATATAAAACCCATTTGATGAGAATGATTGATAAACTTCACAGCAAAGATGCACAAAGAAGAATTAGGATCATGAAAGTTATAACAATATACTGTTGATGCATTTCAAAAGACTGGAAAGGAACATTTCTCAGAATGAAAGGAGCATTCATAAAGTATAAGTGTTTATATTACTACATATATATGGAGCTGTTAGGGGATGCTGTTTCAATTGATGAAAAGCTGCAACCCTATCTAGTCACTGAGAAGTGCTACAACCCTATCTAGTCACTGAGAAGTGCTACAACCCTATCTAGTCACTGAGAAGTGCTACAATGTTTATATTTAAGCAGCACATAATCAGTAACAAGAAAGGCTGTTATCTTGTAAATTTGTAGACAGCAGTAATATCAGAAGTTAAAATGATAACAGATTTCTGAAGAAAATAGAAACTACTTGAGAGAAAAGAGAAAACTGCACTTCCATTAGACCAGTACAACATGCCCCTATAAAGAAATTAACATTCTCCCACTCTTTTACTCCCCTTCCCCTATACTTACTTCTTTACATACCACTTTCAATATTACTTATCCTCTCAATTCTTTTTTTTTTTCTTCCGCAAGAACATACATCTTTACACGCCACTCTCATTATTTACCCTTACCTTCTCAATTCTTCCTTTTTCTCCCTCCCTCCATTTCTTTCTTATCCATACAATCCTTAGCCTACCTAGTGTTAGCTACCCGTGCAGAAATTGGTTAGTTGACAAAAAGATGTTGAATCATAAAATACATGGGAGAATAAAAAAATTCAACATTGAAAAGAAGATCAAATCTTTTGACATGAAACATGGAATTTTTTTTTCGCATTGAACCAATTTCGAAGTTGTAGTTTTTATTTTCAATATCAAATGGTTATAAACATTTCTTGAAATCTAAGGTAACAGCCAAAGTTACAATAAGCCAAAATGTGTGATGCAAATTTTATGAAAAGAAACTGTCCTTGGATAACCATTATGCAGCAGCCACAATGTGTGTCTAACTGAAAGGCATTGAGCATATTTGTAAAAAAAAATTTAAAACAATATAAAAAAAAAAAAATAAAAAAAGGTAAAAGTCCAAAAGTAAAATTTGCCAAAAGTTATAAAAATGCAAAATGGTACAAAAGTACCTGCCTGCTTGTACTAGCCAGCTGGCCTGTGGGTTATCTGGACTGCCCATAGTAAGACACCTGTCTCTTCCTTTCGAAGTACCAGTTTTTAAAGTCTCTGATTTGACCTTCAAAAATAAAAAAAGGTAAAATATCCCATTAAAATTTTGATGAAAGAATAAAATATCCCCAATTAAAATTTTGTAAAACAATGTAAAATATAAATCTAGTAAACCATACCCAATTTAAATTTTGATAAAAACAGTAAAACATCTACGATTGAAATTTGATAAAAACAAATAAAATACCCAGTCCCTGTAAAAAAAACCAATAAAATGACCCATTTAAAATTTAGATAATAATCTTTTGACATAGAAATATGTCTCGCTTGTCGACATAAAATTCAGAAAAAGACAATCTTATGGATAGCAACATGGTTTATTAATTCAGTCGCGGGACCATTATTTAGTTAACAGGGCCTGAAAATAATCGTCAAACTGATATATACTGATAGTAATGCAGCTTTA